AAGAAACATTTTAAATAAAAGAAATAATATTAATTTACCTATAAGTCGTCCAAAATAAGTAAATATGCGTGTACAATCCTTATGAATGGTTTAAGTATGTTTCACGTACTTTTACAAACGTAAATTAATGTGAAAAACGTCGTACTTTGATCGAAACGAAACGACCGAGAGTTCTCGATCGGTTATAAAAGTTCGAATTTCATGTAGCCAGATTGGCACGATGCGCATGCGCGAAAGGTTTCGCCTTCCTGCAGAGTGGCGCATGCACCGTGCATGCATGTGCAAGCGTAAAACGTAACCCGAAAGTTTAGGTTATGTACCTAGAGGAACAAACTCATTTCCAATGTGTTCGCATGGAACTTCGGGCTCTACCAGATCCAACGAGCAATTCCTATGCCAACGACTTTCCGTAAAAACGTCTCATATCGTGAGACATTGTTAAATATATTACGCCATTGCCTTCTCTCGGCCAAGCCACCAGCGTACTGTAATACATATGTATGCGAGAGAGCAAGAATACTCGTCGATTCGGGATCACGTGGCTACAAAGTTTTACAATCTCGCGTGTGTTGATCACTGTCTAGACAGTTGTCTCCCATTGATGCGACCTTTTTTCCTCGAGTATTGCGGGATTAAACTAACCATCGAATCTCAAGTTTTATCATAGCATTTCATAAATTCTTTTTATCTTATGTTTTGTTCGATCGATGCTTCGCAAAAAAAAAAAATTCTTCATTTTAATTAGATAATATACGTATTACGGGAACAGTTTTACAGAAATACTGCGTGCATTCTTTCTAATTAAAATTCCTCTCTATGCCATAGAAACTGCATTGTAAGCGTTACAATTATTTAGATCGAGTTCTCTAAATCATAAGAATAATATTCCCTAATTTCGTCTTAGGAAAGAAATAATTGAATCGTTTTCATGGTCACTTAGGACTTTTTATATACGTGCATATACAGTAATACGAGGTAATGAGCGTTTAAAAACAGAATAAAGTATGTCTCAAAGATAGTTTAGTTAAAAATAAAAAGATGGGAAATCTCTGCAGATTCTGTACAAAGAATCTCTCTTCTTCCCTTTTATCTCTCCGTTCCTCTCTACTATTTCTTTATCATTCTCCTTTCGCTGTGTCCTATCTCTCTGTCCCTCGTTTCTTTCTCGCCAACGGTCGGTGAAATTCTTGCATTTTCACAATCTCAAAGTTTTCATGTCTTCCTTCGAATATCCACGCCGCTTCGAGTTTCCTTGCCTCGTTCCAAGGGACTTTTCGGTCTAATGAGACTTCTCAAACGTCGCTATCGAGATAGACTCATGGATGTATGTATATAACACTAAACCTTCGAGTACATGGTTCTATATAAGGTACGTAACGTTGGAACACCCGGACACGAGGGGACAAGTGCCTTCACACGCACATACACACACATATTCACGTTTTCTTACGTTTCTCTGGAAATTCGTCGACGCCGTTCTTTCCGATCTCTCCTCGCCTCGCCCCGCCCAAGTATTCACGGCTTTAAGTCGTATTCGTCGCAATTTTACGTGGCCAATCTTCGCCTCAACAATGTAATACTCTTTACATCTGGAGACGAATAAAATTTCGCATGAGCAAAATTTCGAATGATCAAATATTTGTATTTTTTTTTTTTTAATTTTGAACGAATTGAAAAAGATAGAGAAGAAGATTTTGATCAAAATAATAATTGGATTCTTAAAATAAAATAAAAATTGCAATGAGAGTCATAGAGTCATATTTTTGACAAGAATTCCTTCGTCGTTAAAATTTATTTTTAACAGGAGATTTTTGTACGTATATTTAAATGAAATTTATTCTAGCTTATTTTCAAAAAATAAAAAAGAATATAGCCAAATTATTGATATATGATAATCGTAATTTCGAAATATTAATTTCAGATCATTTCTGGATTAAAACGATCTGGACTTTACTTTGGAAAAAGATATCTTCGAGAATGTGAAGAATTTCTTTGATGATCATCACAACATCACGAGCAATTGATTAAAAATTGAACCAAGTTCAAGTGATCCAGTACAGAACTAAAACAAAAATTATATATATAAATATATATATATTGAAATTTATTAATACAAATTGTCACAAACTCCTTCGATACAATTTGAATACGCGAGAATAAAATATCCATTTGCAGATATGCAAAACGAAAAATCATAAAATCCGGCAAATCCACTCTCCAACAAACGAAAAAAACAAACAAAATATTGGAACTTAACCTCGAGTGGATCGAGTGCAATCGTGAATATTGCACGAGTATCGCAACAAGTTGGACATCCCTAAAAATAATGACGGCAATACGGTCGAAAATAGTGATCAACAGCTGGACCAATCCTCGATGCGAGCATAAACACCGGGCATCGCGATCGAGCCGTGAACGAGCGTAAAGAATCCTCTTTATGATATCTCCTCTCCTGGCTGGGGCCAGCTGCCGGTTAATTGAGAAGTCCTAGACGGTTCAACCACGGCTTCAATTTACGCCGTATGGATCCTCGAGAATCACGGGTTCGTGGCCGCCATTGGCCGAGGCTTCGGAGGAACAGTGTTGCTGGCAATGCTCGATAAAAGCTGTACTAAATAATCTGGAGTGGAGGACGCGGAGGGGAGGAGAGGTGAAGAGAGAGAGAGAGAGAGAGAGAGAGAGTTGGCCGCGTTATTTTCGAGTACTGGCCTCCGAGAAATTGGTATTAAATAATTTGAAGCACTGTGCAACAGCGAGAGCGAGAGATGATATTTTAAATGATGAGATTCGTTTTGGAATAATGGAAGAAGAAAAGAGGTTTCTGGTTATTTATTTATAGGTGTATATGTAATTGAAGTATTGAAGACATGTTGTATATTATTTAGGAGATTATTAGCTTGTGTAAAGAATAATGGAGGAATCTTTTTGATGGAACGAGATCCTCAAAATTTTGACAATTTTCAATTTTGGATGTAATCCAATTTCCAATTGGAATTAATTTTATCTCGTTACTTAAAATCTTTTTCTCTTATTCTCTTAATAAAATTTCGATTCTTTTGAATCTAGATACACGAGTATACCTATCAGTCTAATAATTACAGTTGAGAATCATGGACAGTTATGTCTGCAGGTGAAGATAATTATCTATAATGATTATTCGTACACATGCGCAAAGCGGAAGAGTAATTTTACAACTGCAAAAAAATATATATTATAATATGTATTTGCGTGCACGTGCAATTTTTTTGTAATACATTATCAGTCGAAAGTCTGTTAAAACGGATAGAAATAGAATTTCACGTGCAATTCTTTTTCCACAAATTTTCCACGTTCTTCATATCAATTAATTTCAACACCTAACATTAGAAAAATTAACGTGTTCTTTTTAATCTCTTCTAATTTCTGAAAAAAAAAAAAAGTATTCTACAAACTATTCTAAAACTTTTGAACAAGAATGTACCTGAGTAATAACAAACATAGACTTGATTATGCCTACTAGCTGTATTTGCAAATAATTTCATAAACGTATTCTTTAATTACAACGCTCATATTCTTGTGTGCAACGCAAGACACGCCATAACGAAAGCCAATATATTTTATTTGAAATTTCCTGTATAGCTACACATATTATCTAAATTTGTGCCTTATTATGCACCTATATACCCTTTTACGCACAAAAACATTGCCTATCTCAAAGATATTTTCACTATCGATAATAAAACTTCCATATCATCGCGAAAATATCCTCCAACAATCTCCTTTTATATCTCCTTCCTCACCTACATATCTACATATCCTGATTCTAATTTTTATATCCGGAAGAACACTCGTTCTACTTTATCGATATTTTCATCTCCAATCATGGACAATATAAAAATATCCCGCATTCCTTTCTCGTCCAATTCATACATCTGGAAACAGTGCATCCAAGGTAAGTGTATGCTGTAAAAAAAAAAAAAGGACAATTTTTTTCCAAACCTTTTACCACCCATTTTCCCGTTTTTACTCGTCACGAGCATCCACGAAGCCTTCCATCGACGGTTGTACGCTTTGTATCGCTTTGAAAGATGGCCATGATCTCGTTTCTAACAGGAAAGCAATCTAGCGGTATCTTTGGAGAGGAGCAACGGTATCCTTGCCGGTCAAATGGCCATGGTGGAGGTATAAAAAAAAGGGCTGGCCAATTTTTTTGCTCGTTCTCCAGGAAGGACGTAACCCGGCCAACAGCCGCTCGACGCGGAAGAATTTTTTTCATGCCAACTTTTTCCCTTTTTACTTTATTCTATGGCTGGTGGTTCAGGTAACAGACTGTGCTGTGAGCGCGTCTGTTACTCTGCTTCTCTTGCTAGGAGGAAACGCAGCGGGAATTCTTTCGTTACGTTTCTTGAATTTTTACAGGCTCTAGACGAGATTGCTCTGTGATCTCTGCAAAATTTGTTACCGTTACTGGAAGAAAAATCGAACGAACTGTATTTACAATATGTTCTTTTTTTTTTTTGTAAACGAAATGATCTCGATTCTTCGTTCAGATGAATATTATAATAGGTTATTATGTAACGTTGTTCAGTCTGTTTAATTAATTTTAATTGTACCCTCAAGAGTCTTTTTTCTCGTCGAATAATCATCAAAAAAAGAGTTAAACGAATAACTGTGTTCGTTGTATTATTTGCTTACCATAAAGTGAGGTTATGTTTTATCAAAAGTAAGGCGAGCGCGTAACGTAATCGCGCACTGTGAACAATAACAGAGGCAAAACTTAAAATTGCTTCCAATTATTGAATTATTTAAGAAAAAGAATGAAAAAGTATTGAATTTATTCCTAAATTTCGTGTAATTATAATTCCAATAATTCAATCACGTTTTACAACGCAAAAGAAATATCTTTTAGAATTGATTTTAAAAGTGTAACCTCAAAATCTATTTTAAATCTATTCAATCGAATAAATGCGAACGCAATTCAAAGAAACACGAAAAGAAGGAACGAGCGTTGGAAGCGAAGGAATATCAACAAGAAGATGTTGAGCAGCGACCAACGGCAATTTGCCAAAAGGTGAGACTTCCTATTGGAAGGAGAGTAAAAAATGGCCATGAGGAAGGAACGAAGGAGGGGAAGAGAAAAAGGGAGAGAAGAGGAGAAGAATCTTTTAGTTGGGTGACGAAAAAGTGGGGAGAAGCGTGGGCGGGAAGAAGAGCAGCAAAGAGGAAAGTTTGCTCGTGGGAATGTTACGATATTCGAGCATTGTCGAGGAAGGCCACTCAAACGGTTACGTTGCGAAGAAGGATCGATAAGATCTTGGGAAGAGATGTCCTCGTATAACCGCGTTGGAAACGTTAACGGACACTTGGAATATTTTGGTATCGATGGCTGGTTGTATTGTAAACAAGAGGAAGAACGTGGATACGTTTCGGTAAGTTTACCGAGAAGTTTGAGTTTTAGCGACTGTATGTAAATATTAGAGAAATATTTATTATCGATGATAGATTTATTTCATTACGTCTAATTTGTATTTAATAAATTTATTCACTTTTATTTATTAATAATATTGGACACGCAGTGAGGCATAGCATGTTTATTATCGTGATATGTTATAAGATGTATAAACTAGTTTTTCAACTAATAATTCTCGAAATATGTTCGAGAATTATTATGATTAAAGATTTTACTTAATAATTAAACGTGATTCGGATTTAAATCAAAATCTAATCTAAATAAAATAAAGAGTTTTGTTTGTATGCATTACAATTTATCACGTTTTTAAATATTTTTTTCTTCTTTCGTAATCTCAATCTTACATAAATTTGCTAATCGTATTAAGATCAAAGTTTTGATCAATTGTTAAAATTAATTAAAAATGTTATTTTGGGTCTGTGCATTGAAAAAAAATTGAGAAACGCTGTTATAAATAACAGATGCGGAAGAAACGATTAATCAAAAAAAAATCGAGGACACAAACTTCCAATTAGTTTAAAATTGTAATGGCGAACGTTGACTTCTATGTACCGCGAACTGGCAAATTTATTGTCTCATCCTACTACCACTACAGTGACAGTTACTTAAGGTCAAAGATACGAGCGTGGAAGACAGTTCTACTAAATCGACTTTATCCTGCTGTATTTTAACCGTGATTATTTGGTTATTCACCGGTTCGAGCCGATAAATAATTCAGTTGGATCTGGTGACCGTATGCAAAGTTACGAGATTAATTAACTGGACAATAAAATTCTATTGAGTGACGTGAGTTAACCCATTCGTGAATTATCTGAATTAAATCGATATTCAATTTGTTGTATTAGGTTGGTGCATATGAAATATACTTCAGAAATTTGAAATTAATATATGGTTAAAAAATCGGAATGCAATTTTGTATCGAATATTCACAAAATTTGTAATAAAAAGTATTAAAACCTCTATTATGAATCTCTTTGAATAATTAGGATAAGTTTAAAGATGAGGAAATTATTTTAAAATTATGTAAATTAAGAAAATGTAAGTGTGTATAGCTTTGATAGAAAATCTATCTATCTAAATTCTTTTATATAAAATAATAAATGAAATAATAATACTATTTTCACTTCATATTATATACTAATGTACGATGCTTCAAGAAAATAACCTAAAATATTTAATAAAACACCAATCTAATACCTACATCTCGTCATTCAGGCAAACCAATTTTCGTTTGACAAGATACGATAGCTGGCAATTCGCGATAAAAGACGAATTACACGTAGTATATAACCAACCCGGTTCCGTACTGGAAGATCAAATACGAAAGGGCGCGTACAAATTTGGCGAACGAATGAGAAAGGGCGGATACGCAAGAGGCGAGCCGGGATGGACGCTTTGTATGGACGAGACTCATGAAACCGCTGCAACGACTGCATCAGAATGGAACTAGGGATCTGGTCACTGCGGCAACGCTGCGGCTCCGGATTTATTCATGACCGGCAAAATATTTCGTGCCAACTCGGGGCGCCTGCGGTTTTCGCTGGATTATGCACTCTGGACGATTTTGCCCAGTTAAAATCGTCCAACACTCGCTTCGTTTCAACGTGTTCTCACTTAAAATATCAGTCGGATCATTTGGAATCACTTTTCTTTTCGAAAAAATCACAAAGAATAGATTTTTTTAAGTTTATAAAATTTTAATCAATAACGTAGCCGATAAAAGGATTTATCGTCATCATTAAATAATAATAAGAAACTCAACAATCAATATCATAATGATACAAATTTTATAAACAATTATGTTTAAATAAATACGTTTGTTAAACTTTGATCAGTAAAAATCGATGGAGATTAACAATACAAAAATTCTAACCTAACTTTTGATTCAATTCATGATGTTTTCAAAACAACGTTAGATTCTAGATTCTTTTTGTTTGATAATATACACGTTATACATATCTATATAGAATAGTATCAATAATATGAATTAGAAAAAAGTACACTCAAAGTACACTCGGTATATTATTATCTTTTTGAACGGATCTTTTAAACGAAGATAAAGAAATACTCGCGTGACCCGGAATCGTTAAACGCCATGGTAGCGAAAGAAAGTTGCATTAGAATTTCGCATTCCTTTGCGATTTTTCTTGTCGTAAACGTTGGTTGAGTGGCATAATCGCGATCAACTAAACGTAATTTACTTTTATCTAACGGATCCATTTCGGATTGGATACGTCATCTTTTTAGATTTATTAATTTTGAGAATCGATAAGTTAGCTCTTAGAATTGTAATATTACCTCATTCGGTGTTAAATACGTTTATTTACACTTTTTCGAATAATTCATAAACAATTTTACCGTTCTGCAAAATAGGAAATGTCAGAAAATTTCGAGAAAAAAAATAGCAATGTAAAATTACAATACTCAATTTCGTAACTCATTCTCTTGCTTCTTTTATTAATTTAAATTTTTATTTGTATCTTATTAAGAATGCCTGACATCGAGGAATATTTCAATATTTATTTTATGTTTAATGTAATCACGAACTGTTATGTTTTCAGTATATGGAGATGGATTCATGAAGTATGAGACACAAGAAAGAAGTATAAAGAAGAAAAGGATGACAGAAAAAATTCGATTTCCAATTTCTATCACGTCAGCTTTACACAACCAAGCTTCCGTTCGATTACCTGCTTGCATGCACCTTTTTTTCAATTTTCCATTTTCGTTCGAATGACTTTCTATCGAATATGAAAAACGATAAAATAAAGAAATGATGGAGCCTCTGATATAAAGAAAATGTAGATATATTCCACGATTGATATTTGTAAATTGTTTCTATAAAAAAACATATCTTTTTAAACGCTGTAAAAATTCATATTTTTACTGGTTTATTGTTTGCGCCTGTTGAAATAAAAGCTACCTACCGAAACGAGCATCACCAATAAATTAGAACATTTTTTAATTATAGATAAGCGAAATGTGCATTTGCGTGCATGCGTTAATGAAATTGCATATTACCATACTTTCGTACCATTTTCCTGCAAAATTCACGACCATGAAATTCACGACTGTGTAACGAGATGATCTTGTACGGATAACACGAGATACAAACTTCGTGTAAAAAATATATATATATATAAAAATGCATAAGACGAAATGAAAATAGCATTTATTTTGTATCGTGTCAATCTCGAAAAGGCGGAAAAGAACAGGTGAAAGAGAAAAAACGAGAGGAAGAACTTTACTTCGACTTTATTTTACGTAGCAATTGGTCCTGAATGTCAATTGCTTACAACATTGAATATACACGCTTCATATGACATTCTCGAGCATAAATCTCTCAGGATGCGTGGTTAATTGTACAATCGTGATAAATCAAACGATCAGCGGGAGGTCGTAATTATCCGTATGTGGACAATGATAAATCAAATGTAAAGACGTAGAATCATAAAATGTAATAGCTTACGGTTTATGAATATTACGGTAAAACTCTGTATGCAGTACTGTTTGTTTCTTATTAAGCTTAACAAAAATGTCCGCGTATAAAGAGGTTAGTTTGTAACCGATTGCTTCTCTATCATTTTCGTAATACGTATTAAATCGAAACATAGTTATACACGAGAATAATCAAAATATTTACATACTCGAATATAAAGTTATTCGAAATAATATTTAACCTATTATGGCTTAATGACTTACGTGAAAAATATAGCAGATTGTTGGAAACATCATTTTTAGACATGCTCCTTTCCCTCCAAAATGTCCATCTTGAATTCTGAATGGTTTTCAACGAGTCATCATCGCGGTTTTGCTCTGTCAACGAATGATTCATTGCCTCGTATAAATTCAAAAAGCGTGTTTTATGAAGATTTAAACGATTTGCAACGTCCTTACTGATTTGAAATTAATCGCGACTATGAAGCAGTGATTCAACAGGAGCAAAAGATTTATATACTGTCGTAAAGATATCCCGCGATCGAATAATCTTAGCGCGCCATCGTCAGGAATTTGTCCTAACTACTAACATGTTTTCAGCTGTTGAAAATGAGAATGCAGTTTGTTAAACTATGACTGCCCATCTGTTATACTTGCGAAAAACTTGTAATCGCGATCACGTTCGATTGGAAACTAAAAAATTAAAAATTCTAAGAATTTCGATATCTGATTAAATGAATATGAGAATAAAGATATCCTCCTTGATAATCATAACGTCAAATATTATAAAAAATAATTGTATTACATTAAAGAAAAAAAAAAAAAAGAAAGAATTTTATCATATTATTTTAACATTGATACGATAAAACGTATATATCTCACCAATGTCATTGTATTTAATAATGTTAAATGATATTAAAATCACGATTTTAAGTAGTCTTAAGTTCAAAGAATATGTATTTAACTGCATCATAATTACTCGAAAAGAGAAATGAATGTCAAGGAACAAAGACGATAGTAGAGGTTAGGAAATGTAATATATTTTAACATTTGCCAACGAAGATATAATAATGATTTAAAATGACTTTGTGCGCTTTTCGTATATTGTACTGTCTTCTTTAAGTCGTTGCCTATATTAGTGACGACTGTCTGAATAATTGTCATGCAAAAATATGTTTGTTTCTCATGCATTGTCGAAATATACGTGACAAGCTGCGTGAATATAGCATTCGATGTGACGCTTCATACATAGGAGATAAATTTCAAAAAGAGTTAAGAACGTGAGTGGACCTACTGTTAAAGCATAATAGAAGATACTGACCTGTATTAAACTGCGTTAGCCAGAAATTCCGATATAAACTGTATATTATTCAAGTTGAAAAGTGAAATAGTCACGTGGTCATATGTAACGTAACGCATGTTGCCACTGCGAAGGCATACGATATTATTGGACGCATGCGCGTTAACAAGAACAGTTTCACTCGCGTTCACGATACGATAGAGATAGAGATAGAGAGTCAAACGAATTTTTCGACTACACGTTTGCAGCCCGTCGGATAAAATTTAATGAATCCGGCGATCGACCCGACTGCGTGTCGTGGCACATACTGGTCACAGTTAATCCGTGCAGAGTTCCTCCTCTTCTGTCCTCGCATACACATGTATGTGTAGAATGCCAAAGAACAGCCGCGTATTCCTCAATATACATGACGAAGCGAATCACGCTTTGATTACGCATCAAGTTTAGGCGCGTGCGTGCTTATTCCAGCCGAAAAATATTCCTGATGGTCTCGTAACCGGTTAATTCTATTCTTTCGTTTAACCTCTGTACATATTTTCAATAATTCACTTTCGAAGCTTCAACTAGTTTACAAGTCCGACAGGTCAACGTGATATTTTCTCGAAACACAAGCTTTTGTCACGGAGAATAATAGATGAGCACGCGCTTCCGCGGGGTTCACAACAACCCGATGAAATATGTAGTCTATGACATAATCGAAAGTCAGGCGCGGGAGCCCTGTTTATTGGCGCTGCCGTCGACGTCAACGAGTGTAGTTCGTGCCTACGTCACTTTCGTCGTCGAAGGTGTTGCCGTCGTAGGTGGTAGGGTCGTTTCGGTCTTAGGTAAAGGTAACGCTGTCTGAAGAAGCCTCAGGAAGACACGGACGAGGTGGGGGTTTATGGGTTTGCATCCTATGTACTACATCGTATCTCTAGTTATGGCTCAACGACAAAACCCACCTATATAAACCTGCGACATCACTTTGTGTATTGAATGTACGAGCCAACGTTGATCTACATATAACCTATACTAATGCTTGCGAACAACACGTAGTTACTATATATGTAATACGCATTATAGCTATGGATACAGTTGTTTGACATGGTGACTAGAACTAGAGATAAAATGAGAAGACTGTCTGGTAGAAAGTAACACGATACAGGTATGTGTATATATCTACTTATACACTTCCGCACGGTTACGGGAGGATTTTAGTAAAATTGAGTTTCCCCGCCCAGTCTATTTCCAAAGTAAGCCTCTGGCGCGTATTCTGCGTTGACGCCAATATGCTCGCCGTCGTCAAGACGTGGTGAAATTGAAGCTTATTTTTTTTTTCTTCCGCCTCCGTATCTTTAGATAGTTTAATCCTTCTCTTCGTCCGAAGCTTCTACCTTGGATTAAAATTTTAACGCAAAGCTTGATGACCGGCCGAGATATTTTTAAGGCTGGATAGTATCGCGAAAGTTATATTTTTTTATCATAATGTATAAGACGCCGACGAAATAGGAAAAAACAAAAAAGTTTTTGATAACTATCTTACTTAAACTGGATTAGACTTGATTAAAATGCATAAACTCGTGAAATGTATATAATCATTATTTTGTTTAAACTGTAACACGCGGTATATACGGAAAATTGAGAAAGTTTTTGAAACGATAACGTATAATAGCGATCGTTTGATTGGTTGCGTGCTAACACCAATACAAATATAGTAGAAACATTTATACGATCGGTAAAGTAGGCTGCGATTGAAGTTATCGACCTATATAGTGCCGAATTCAGCAGAGTTCGTAACTAAATGTTAATCAAATGAATGGAAAAGAATGACAATTTTTCGTTGTTATTTCTATTGTAAATTATTAAAGAATTTTACAGAAAATTTATAGAAATATCACTCTAAACATAATTATACACCAAATAATTTAGGAAAGACAGATTTTTCACATAGAAAATTAATCGGTACGTAATAATATAAATATAAATAATAATTATAACGATAAAATTTTGCATATATCATTATATTCAAGCATGGAATTTTAAAATAGCAATATCATTCATCGAGTTAAAAAAAAAAATTGTGCGTATATGTAACAAAATGTATTATCCATTTTTTTCGAAAAAACAAAAATCTTCCCCTCGAAAAATCATTATACGAGAATCACGAATTGTTACTTGGCCACGAATAAAAGACTCTTGCCTCGTATCGCTTTACCCTCGAAGATTTAACATAACAAGGATAGAGAGTGGGCTCGTTGGAGGGATGGAAAACGCTGTCGGTAGATGGATTGGTGGGGGAAATCCTGGATACGGAGCGGCCATGATGCATCGGCCGACCAATCAGCGTGCCGCATCGTCCCGTTCCGGAGTAATGGCCGCAGGACACCGCCCAATGTAAAACTCGGTGGACGATACGCTTATTGGACACGAAGGCGTTAAAAGTTTTATTGCTCGACTGACAGTTACACCCCGCATTTTCAGACCCCGCCACAGCACTCTTTCTCCCTTAAATCGTAAAAACCAAGGCGCGGATCTGCCGTAGCCGCGGATACTCTGGAAAACTCTCTACGACTGAGAATGCCCCCTGGGCTACGCCCTATGAACTGTTCCTCCTGTTACTCGGAAACTCCATTTTCTAGCTCTCACTTTTCCATCTGTCTCTTTCCGCAATTCAAATTTCAAATTCAAAATTCAACGAATTTTTCTTCCCAACTTCGTTATCATTCCTCTTCAAAATTTGAGGACAGAGTGGAAACTTTAATTATTTCTTTACTTAAATTTTTTCTCCTCCGTGTAAAGTTCATTTGCATACTCGGTCAATATGTTTGCAGTTTCGTTAATTAGCAAGATATGATACATACAATTAGAAAATCTATGATTAAAGTGTTTTTAATTCCAAAAAAAAAAATTAAAAATAAATATTTAATTCAATTGTATTATAAATTGTAATGCTGTTGACACAGTAAATTAACAGGAATTGTGTAAATTTAATTAACAAACAACCAGAGAAGCAGTAAAATGCACTCGTTGAAAACACATTCAGGCTAATCCAGCCATCTAATCAGAACTTTGCTCAATAACGTTGAATTTTAATTACGCTCATGAGTAGATTGAACGGATATACTTAATTATTCGTGATAGAACCATCGATCGAGTTGTTAACCACGTAAACTTTAATTACTCGTATTGTAACAGATACGAGCCACCAATATTAAGCATATAATAACACAATTATTCTTTTATCGAATCGAACTTTAAATTTACCTTTCGTACAATACGAGAGTTAAACTTTTAGAAAAATTGTCGCGTTACAAAAATCGTGTTAGTTATGAATCACACAGGGAGATCTGATCTCCAAAAATGTAAATTTTATCGCAAATCAAGAAAAATAAATAATTGGAATTTAAATTTCGATCATCCGCACTATTCTCGTACAATACGAGAATTACATAAAAATCGAAAAATCGTATCGTAAGAAGAAAATGTTAATTCAACGCATTCAAAAATAATTTT